ATTTGGAATCAATTTCTGAAGGATGCTTTGCTGTCTACAGGGCACTGTCCTTTGGGGGAATGGTTTTAAACTGAGACAGGGGAGGTTTAGGTTAGATATGAGGAGGCAGTTTTTCACATGGAGGGTGGTGAGGCACTGGAACAGGTTGCCCAAGGAGGCTGTGGATGCCCCATCCCTGCAGGCATTCAAGGCCAGGCTGGATGTGGCTCTGGGCAGCCTGGTCTGCTGGTTGGTGACCCTGCTCATAGCAGGGGGTTGGAACTGGATGAGCATTGTGGTCCTTTTCAACCCAGGCAGTTCTGTGATTTTATGATTCTGTGATTCTATTATTCCATGATTATGAGTGAAGGTTTCAGTAATTCTGTGGGATTCGTGGTCGCCCTGGATGACATGCCATCCCACCTTGATTTGTGCTGGAAAGCAAGACCTCCGCCCAGCTGAAGCAATGGTATGATCTCAGATAAGTTGTATTTCACATCTGCCCATCCTGGTATCTGCACAGATTGGAACCGTACCACAGTGAGCATCTCTTTGCCATGAACAACAGGGCACTCCATTGTTTTTTTGGCTTTGGTCATTCCCATTCTAGCAGGGCCAACAATTATTTCCGGAATGAATTTATGCCCCTTAGCCTCCGCATCACCCATTAGGCTCTCATTTGTCCAGCAGGGAATTTGATATATGTCCTCAGAGGGCACATCCGACGGGCGCAGATGCTTGACAAAGCCACCCGCCCCGGCTCGTCCAAGCCCCATTGCACGCCAGCAAATGCCCTGATGTACAAAAAGGAGACGGAGTGGCTTCCAAAGGTTGCACGAGTGTTAAACTCTAATAAACAAGCCCCATCGGTGAAAGCTGAAAGAACCTGAGCCCTCCCCAACAAAGCATTTAATCCAGTTTGGCGTAACCTTTGACATTATTAGGGATCGCAGTGACCCTAATCCAATCAGATTGATTAACTAAAGCGGAGACCCCATAAGCTGACCCCCCTCTGGCCTTTGCTATTTAGCCCTGACCAAACAGTGGGAGAGACGTGCCATATTTACACCACAATGGGTCCGCGCTGAGAACCTGTTTCATTACAGAGAGACTTAAACTCCCATTACTCCATCAATGTATCATTCTTCAATAGTTCATTAAAAGCTGCTCCTCCACAATAACTATTAACCATTTCTCAGCCCAGCTGGCAGGTTTAGAGCCCCAGCCAGTCTTTAGCAGAAGGAGGTGGGAGTGAGTGAAAGAAATGGATAGACAAGGGCTCCCTTTTTAAATTTAAACCAACCGAGGGACTTAAATAGTTTGAGGTAATTTACTTTTATTGAAAGGGGGAGGAGACGGAGGAAACTTTTATTTTGACTTAATTATGTGCTGAGGTCCTTTACAGAGACAAGGCTGAGAGAAGCTTTTATTGTGTTCCTTCTCTTGAGATTGGTTCATATTTCTGACCAGAGGAGTTTCAAAGAGAGCTTGCACTGTGGTTAGAGGGGAGAAAATGCACCACAACTTAACCATAAATAGTGTCTTCAGTCCCTAAATGTTAAAAGCAGGTCAAGTGGCACCACTCCCAACAGTCACTTAAGCCTGAGATGGAAAATGCCTGCTGGGTTGCACGGTTCACTTTCTGTTGATGGTGAAGTCATGTCCTTCTATGACATCCTACAAACTTTTATCCTGCATATTTTTAAAGACAACTTAAGCATTTTTCCTTCATTCTTTGGAAACTGGAAGCTATGGAAACTGCCTTACAAACAGCCCAACCTCTCAGATAAGTTGCCGGGCACAGCTGTGGGCTAGCATGGTTTCTCAGCATTGCATGGCTATATCCACAGTCTGCTTCACTGCCTCGCAGTATACAGATGGAAAAAAAAAACCCATTATGAGTCCCAAGGAAACAAATGAGAACAGATTTTTTTTTTCCTCTAGAATTCGCTCTGCTAGAAGAGCTCAAGTGAAGGTTATTGTTCTCTCCACAGTAGCTGAGATTTGAACTTTGGGGAAGCTAGAAACTGGAGCAGCTTAACACAACTGATGGGCAGCTGGGTGGGTTCAACAAGGAGATCAGATTTGCTTCTTTTCCTACAAGAGCATCCTATTGTCTGCACTCACATTAGTATAGGACACCTGAAAAACCCATTTCCTAGCAATTCAGAAGGAAGATCCACTGGTGGAATCTTCTATCTGAAATTTTCTCCCTGAAATTGCACAGGTGCAAGACCAAACGGAGGAGAAAAACTCTTCCAACAGCCCCACAGCAACGTTACCTCCTGCTGATGCCTGAATCTTTCCCCATGCAGATACCACAGTGCAGTGAAGAAGATAGCACTGTTCCCTTTGAATAAGGAGCATCTATTCCATAGCCAATGGCAGGCAAAACCAAGGGGCTGAATAGCTGGATGGGTTGTGGGGCTTCTGCTCCTGATATGGCTTGAGTTAAAAGGCCACGGGCCATACCTGTCAGGTGTTGTCTCCAAACAGAGGCCAACATCACCATTCCCTTGTCATGTGCTCAATAATACCGTTGTGGTTTAATATGTGATTCATTAATCCTGGCTACGGATATGCTAAATATAAATATGTATATATATATGCACATGACATATACAATATTTATATATTTATATGCATATAATATTTATAGGAGCTAAAACAAATGGGATTTCTTCCCACAGACAGGCTCATGGGGAAAAAGAGTTTGGTTTCAGATCAAAATATTGGTCTTAAGGGGAGCATTCTGGTGACAGTTTGGCACTGCTGAATCACAACTCAAGCCTAGCCCTGAATTTGCAATGAGATAGCAAAGCAGCAAGGGCAGCTCAGACACTGAGCCAGCCTCAGAGATTGGGGCCTAGGAAGCATTTCTTGAAGGCATTAAAATCAATCCTTTGCAATCAGAGAAGTCCAGATAGTCATGTTAGGAAAAAAGGAGTTGCTTTAGTGACCATGTTGGTACTGGGGGGAGGAAGATAGGGCCCCTATTGGCAAAGATGGGGAGCTGAAGTCGAATTGAGAGTGACTTAAAATTCCAGCCACAAAACAGAGTTTTGCTTTCTTTCTCTCTCTCTCTCTCTGTTTCTCCTTCTCTCTTTCTGGGTAGGAGCTCAAATATGTTCCTACCCTGGGGGATCTGCCGCACAAGAATGTGACTGAGCTGTTTTTTCTCCCCCCTCCTGCTGTAGGTGAAGCAAAACTGAAGGGTGGTTTGATTCTCCCTCAAGGAACAACATTCTTCAGTTATGAAATCGTCCCAGCCTTCTCTCCCTCGCTGCGCCCAGTTACTGAAAGCCTGCAGACTTGAACACGGATGGACCCTTCGTGCTGATATAGCTGTGAGATAAGGCTTGTGGGATCAGGGCCCCTTCGATAAGCAAGAAGGTGAAGATTGCTTCTCTCCTGCTAGCATTCCTACAGGACAACATCAGGCATCTCATCCAAGATGTTATTCGTGTCCTCGAGTTGGGCTTGTTCATCTTGGAGAAGAGAAAACTCTGGGGAGACCTCATTGTGCCCTTCCAGTATTGAAGGGAGTTTATAAGCAGGAGGGGGAGCAATTTTTTACATGGTCTAATGATGATAGGACAAGGGGAAATGGCTTTGAACTAAAAGAGGGAAGATTCAGGTCAGATGTTAGGAAGAAATTCTTTGCTCAGAAGGTGGTGAGGCCCTGGCACTGCTGTCCAGAGGGGTGTTATGGATGCTCCATCCCTGGAGGTGCTCAAGGCCAGGTTGGATGGATGCTGGCTGCCTGAACTGATGTGGAGCAACCAGCCCATGGCAGGGGGTGGGAGCTTGATGATCTTTCAGATCCCTTCTGACCCAAGACATTCTATGATTCTATGACATCAAGACAAGACAAAGGTGTTAGGTTAATTGGCTCACTTACTCCCTGTGCCCAGTGTATGCTTTTGGGAAAGTCACCCTGGGCTTGTGCCTGTGGGAAAATATTTTGCTCTGCTGACCTAATTCAAATGCTGTAGTCACCCAGGAATGATGTACCTGGAATGGTTGCTTTAATTCTGTGCCAAACATTGTGATATGACACCTTGATATGGGCTTAAGCATACCACACTGCAGCTCCTGCAGGTGTAATTGTTTGGGGCTGATCTCTGATAAACCTGAATGGTGACAGAGGTGTTAGCATCCCAGCTCTAATGGGGTAACAGTATCCATCCATCAGCTGAAACACACGCTCCTTTGGCTGTGTGTGCAATGCCTGGTAGGGCTGATGGAAGCCCTGCAATACAGATCATAGCTCTGTTCTCTGCAGGCTGCTGCAGTGCTCTCTGGTGTGTTATTAAATGTAGGCCCAGACTGGACTTTGAAGGCATGCTACAAGGGCAAAGAAGGATAAAACAATTCTTATCAGCTAAAATAGGTCCCTGCTCACGTATAGGTGAAAAGAACAGAGGGTATCAAGAGCCAAGTACTCAAACATCACTACATTCAACAATGTGGGACAAAACATTGGTATAAATGGGAGCTATTAGAGATGTTTCTTCCCAAGTTTTTCAATGTCCCATGTCAGAATTTGTTTTAATTTGCCATATTCATAACCCTGTGAAAGCAACACCATTGACTCAAGGTGAGTTCCTCAGGCTTTTGATCTTCATTTTATCCCGCAAGGGCATCAGCAATGATTGTCCAACCCCTAGGAACCATCTCCAACCATGACTGCATTCAGACACTGCCCCGCAGCCCATCACCTTACACCAGAGAGCCATAGATTTACTTGTCACCCCTATGAGAAGGTTTACATTTCTTCTAGTCTCTACCAAGCACCTCTGCATCAGGTTTGAAAACTATCTTGGATAGAGTCCTGTGCCCACAGTTTTTTCCTTGCCTCTGCCATTTGCCTCCTTTTATGAAATTCAGTCCTGTCTCTACCAGCCCATTTTACATGGGATTTTATCACACAGCAACAAGTTCACAGTGGGTTTATCAAAACCTTTGATGCTATTCCACCATGGTCATTGCTTTCACCAAACACATGGCACAGGGCTCACCTTTGTCTAGCACGGGTCCGAAGATGGCCAAGCTGTCATTGACAGTTGTGCAGTTCCACCTCCTCCCTCGAAACTGGTGTTGACACTCTTGGATCCCAATCTTCACCCCTTCTGCTACGCTGGGCATGATCTCCACATAGTTCCGACAGAATCGTAGCTGCTTGGGGACCAGTCCTGGGATGCTCCCACAGAGGATGGGCTGAGTCCCCAGAGAGGAATATTGGTGACCAATTGCCAGGGACCTGGAAAACAAAACAGAAGGAAAACAGATGCTGTCAGTCTGACATTGAGTTTTGCATTTGGTTTCCAGGAATGGAGAAAGAAAATCAACATTTTCAGTTTCAGTGTGGATCCCGTCACCAGAAAGCATCCTTTCCACTGTCATCTCTCTCCAAAATAACATCATTATGTCTCTCCTGAAGTTTCCTAGAGGACCAACAAGTGAGCAGCTCTATCTTTAATATCTTCCTTCCCTTTCCTTCATTCTCTCATCCCTGTACCTCTTCCCAAAGATGCTCACCTCGTGCAGTCAGTTCCATTTGCAAACAGAGGTTAAGCCACATTTCTTTCTTTGGAAACCAAGCATACTTGCACTAGCACATGCAATTTTTGTTGGAAATCTTTGCAGCTGAGTAAGCCCAAGAGAGTCAAAAACACATCCAAAGCTACACAAGGTAATAACACTGACAGTAGAAGACACCGTGCTCCAAGACTTTGGAAGAGCACCACGAATTGACAAATACCACCCAAATTAATCTGTGTGCCCTTTGTGTTTGAACCTTACCAGGTAACTTCTGAGACTGACTGTAAAGATTTGAGCAGGTTGGACCTTGAGAGCTTCTAAAAACCTGACTGAGCTTAATGCTGGTCCAACATCAGTGCTGTCCTCCTTTATGAAAAACTGGGCTCGTGTTACTAGGAACATTAGTGCAAGGGTGCATGGAATTTTGGATCCATGGATCCATTGGTGACCTCTCTGAAAGTACATTCTGGAAAGGATTTTCTGCTCTTTAGTATTTCCACACCTGCTTAGTTCAGGCATGTGCTTTGCAAGGCTTTATCAGTTTGAAGTGCTTAAAAAATTAAGTATTAAAAGTCTGCCTCTGGATAATAGTTCAGCAGATTTTCACTTTGCTCTCACACCAGTTTTAATCTGGGAATTTTCAAAACCAGGGTTGCATTTTCATAAAACCCAGCTTTGCTGTGCTGTCACGAGGATATGCAAAACCTGCTTTGGCCATCAGTCTGTGAATTGCTGCAGTTAAAATGAACAGGGTAAAATAAAAAACCACAACAATTGGAGTGCAGATTCTGCGCTGAGCCAAATGGAAGTCTTCTGAAAGGAGTGTCCACGAACCATTATGTTGGTTGAAGCCTTAGAGACAAACAAGTCAGCTATGCACATAGATCAGCAGATACGTAGCTAATTAGATAAATTTTTAAAGTGTTTTTACTGGTGCTTCTAATAATAACCTTGATTACTAAAACTGAAGGGATTTTTAGAGTATAATTTCCTATTCTTCTAATTAAATCTCTTGATTGACTTTTCTGCTCAGAATTAATGACAAACAGAAACCTGCCTGGGCAGTGTGTATTTCTGTTTACATTCATTATTTTTTTTTTGCTATGTGGTTTTCATTTGGGAGCAGCCTGGTGTGTCTGAATTATCAGCAGGCACCCAGAGAAATGTCTTCCCCCTCTTTTGCTCTAACATTGTCAAGTAAATGAATTTTAGATGGACGAGGTGAAAGGTGTTTGTGAAAGCAAACATTTTTCAGCTGATTTCCAAAACTTAGGGGCCTTTTTCCACTTCAGCTGTGGTTTGAGTTGAAGATTCATCTCACCTAACATTGAAGGACAATTCTTCCTATTCCAGGGAGGGAATAGGAGGCAACTATGGACTGCCCTCCAGAAGTGCTTGCCTCTTCCCAATAAGAGGAGGGCAGGTAGCTGACACTGACTAGGAGCTGTGCTCATTTCATCTACCTTCTTATGTCTCCAGCTGATCTACACAACCCCAGCTGCCTTTGTAATCAGTCTGAGGAGAGAAACAGGCGTTTCTAGGGCACGAATCATCTGCCCCATTTTAGACATCTGCTTAGGATGAGGTGAATCATGGCCTTGCCTCCATTGAGTGTATTGGCTAGACTAGAGAGAAAAAACCCTGGGTGAGCAGTTGAGTGGGATATGTCTGCACTGTACAAGTCTCCAGATGAATCATGTCATTACATCTAACAACGGGTATGGCTAAGTTCCTTAAAATTTCCCACCCAGGAAAGGTGAGTGCTGTGCTGAAGTCTGTGCAAAGACTCAGGCTGTAGAAGGGAGGTGAGTTCCTGCAGGAGCCCGCAGAAGAAAGCCAAGAAAAGGACCCAGCTAACTTGTTTTCCCTATCTATGTGTCTTGATGTGGGTTTTCTTGAACTTTTGATTAATTCAGGGAAAAACTAGTGGCAGAAAAGCACCTGTGAATGGATCCCATGCCAGACCAAAGGGTGTTTTCACTTTGACTTCACAGTGTACTTTTAATTTAATTGTTAAGCAATAAACAAAGCGCTGGATCACACTTGATGGACTAAAAACACCTTTTGAAACACTACTTCAGGCTGCAGGGGGCTTACTTAGGGTGTTGCCCCTATGGCCTTGCTGGGCATACAGAGACCTGGGTGCCACATCTCCAACTCCAAGTCTATTCAGAGCCCAAATGCATGGGAGATAGCAGCTATTCCCAGAAGGCAACTTAGAATACTTTAACCTCTGAAGTTAGATGGCCCTTATCTCTGTAAACAGTGAGGAGAAATAGGTGTTTTCACTGAAGCCTCCAGCCTCCAGAGAAGAGCACCAGCATTTGCTCTGACTCATCCTTCAGAGAATAGTTCTTCCACTGACGATAGCGAGAGTCTAGGATGGCTCCTTTCAGTACTTAAAGCTAACTTGGGTTAAAAATTTACAGAGCTTGTTCCCACATCACCAGCACACATCCCAAAGCTTTCCTAACAAAGTATCCACTGTAGGATCGACCTGCTGTAGGCTTGGTGTGCCATATTGTGAAGCCAAGATGAGGACTTTCTTCAGTCACTTCAACAGAAGCTAGATGAAACTTTAGGACACCGATTAAACTTCAGTTTATCTGAACAGCCAAACTCATGCCTCTTTGTCTTTTGGAAGTTACTGCAGTGGTATACTGTGAAAACACAAATCATAGGAAGAGGAGTTTACAGGTTGATGCCCTCAACTATTAGTTTCCATTGTTGGGAAGATCATCTAAGATAAAAATTAAAAAACATGTAGAAATACTTTTAATTGCTTTTCGCACTGCTCCCTTCTCAATGCAGCAGGGAAACAGTCACACCTTACTTTGATCTGTGTTACAGTCTGGAAAGTTTAATCTGCAAAAGACAATCTCATGCAAGAGTCTTGTTCTCAAGGCGTCATCAGGCACTGAGACAGTGAATGTAAATTTGGAGTGTGCAGTCACTTGACTTTCAGTCGGAGCTACAGGGTGGAATCTCTACATCAGTCCATGCACAGTGCCTCTGCTGCTAAACACAGCTAGGTACAGTCCTTTACCTGTCTCACTTACAGACTCTGGAGTGTGATAACATCAATTAGGACAGCCTCTTTTGATCTCTAATTTGCTACCAGAATCCAGATGTAAACACTTTATCCCTCTCTCTAAGGTCAACTCATCTTTAGGAGATTGATCACAAGATATGAACCTTATGAACCTTCTAACCTCGCCCATCCCAAGTAAGCAAGCAAACAAAATCCACCAACACCTGAAAAACAACAATCAAAACCATTAGAAAAGACTTGGAAAGACTATAAAGATCATAATCTCATTTCAGTGTTATCCAGCTTTCTGGTAGCTCCCATCTTTCATTCTCCTGTTTCCAATGATTTTGCATTTCCCATTCTCCTATGGTCTGTTTCAAAGCCATCTTCTGCATGATGGTGATTTTGAAAAGATGGTGTCAAGAAATGGGTCAAGTAGTGAATACTGTGGTCTAACCAGTCATCATCTTCAACTTTTTTAAGCAACAGCTCTTTCTGGATGCATTGACACCAACATCTTCTTTTTCACTGGAGAACTCATGAAGCTCTCAAGTTTTCAAAAATGCTGATTCCCCTTACAGGTACTGCTCAAGTTTGACCCAAGGGAAAGGGTCGAAAAGCCATTCTTTTCAAACCAATTAGCTTTTCCTTGCCATTAGCTCAGTAGGAGCCATGAAAACACTATTCTGTAAGTCCACAGCCAAAGTTCTTGGCTTATCTTTAAGCCTTGCATGCCCTGAAGTATTTAATTCAACCTCCAGTGAGCATTTTTTTGCCAGCACACCTAGAGAGCTCTTCATTTCCCTTATCTCAGTCTATCTGCTCCTTCAGCAGAGTGGTTGTAGATAAGTACCTGGCCACCTTCTTAATAAATTACATGTACTCTCCCTCTTGGAATGGACACCTCAGTCAGGTTATGAGGAAGAAATATGCAGGAAATATATTCTCATAGGTTCTTCAGAATGAAAAAAAGAGAAGGCTTGAGTTCTGGATGACCTTGCTGTACAGCACCACTCTACCAACTTTTCAAGGTCACTACCTTCTCAGTGCTGGCTGTCAAAAGTCCTTGACGCATCAGGTGCAGCATGTAGAGGCGCGTACGCCTACTTGCCTCTTCCTGAATTCTGTTATTCTTGAACTCCATAGAGGCTCTGTTTTGCTATTCATCTTGGAGAGGCCTTTTGCTGGCTCCAAGTGCTGCTGAGAGCGGATGTCCTTCTGGGATCCCGGACACAGGTAAAGTAACTGCTTTAATTGAATTTGTACAGCAAGAGTGCAACGTCTCTGCAGCAACCCAGCATGAGAACAGAGAGCACTTAACTCCCCAGTGAATATTGAAAACAGAGCACAAGCAGTTACACTGGTTCTTTTGTTTTACACAGATGGACAGTGGCAGCAGAAGTTAAGTCAAAGGATGTTCATCTGCTTATATTGAAGGGAATTTATGTTCACTTCCAGATGCATTGGGTCTTTTTGCACTCTGCTCCCTTTGCATGGTCTTCCCTAACAGGAGGATGACAGAACTCCTCCAAATCCTCTCTCTCTACCCATTCAGATTTCTAGAGATTCACCTCACTCTCTTTTCCTTTTTCCCTCATTTTTTGTTAACTCCCTACCATGCCACAGAGCAATCTATCCAAAATGATTCTCACTCACAATGCACTCAGCTTCATGAATCTTAAAAGACTGAAATGAGGAAGGTGGCTGGAGAAGTCTCCATAGGTCCTGTCAGGACCTCCTTAGGTCCTATAAGGAAAACGTAGCATTGTCTCACAAGTCCTGCTACTAGGTAAGAAAAGCTCACAGAAAAGCTGCTTGCAGGTGATGAGCGGGCACAGCTCTTCATCCTACAACACCCAAATTTGGCCCGCAGTGGTGCCCTAACCATCATCCCCTACAGGCTGCTGAGGTCAAGAACATGAACTTCATGCACCTGAGATGCTAAAAATATGTTTGGGAAGGACATAGCTACTCGGAGATCCTGAAGTTTCAAAAAAATTGAGGCTGCTCTGAAAGGTCAATGGCACCTGAGTGTTCAAGACACTCAAAGAATAGGACGTGTACGTTAACCTTGATTCAGTTCCCACAAAGACAGAGTGCCTTTCAGGGCTGGCATGCATAAAGAAGAGCGATGGTGTCCATCCAATGGCACAGATGGAAGCTGGTAAGGTACCCAAAAGCATTTCAGTCAGAGACAGGGACTAGGTGTAGGAGAGGTAGATAAACCACCCTATCATTTCTTCCTTTCCATTTCTATGGCATACAACAGTTTCCAGGCTCTCTGAAACACTTCTGTAGACTTGAATCACCAGATCAGAGATCAGATGGGTAAGCAGACAGAAAAATTAATAGACCTGTGTTTGTTTTCATAGAAAACCACGAGTTTTCCAAGAAAAAGAATAAAGAAAAAAAGGGAAAGGAGCAAACCCAAACCCATCATCTTAAACGGAAAAGTATATCATTCTGCTAACTATTTTCCTTTTGGATGCTTTTGATTTCCTTGTAGACGTGAAAACTGCTCCAGATCCAAGTAATTTAACACATGAATCACAATCAAAATTTTAATTTGCTTTAGTTGAAGATATTTCAGTCTAAAATTTGAAAAATTGAAAACTACCTTCACGTAGATGAATGATCTATGAATGTCTATAACAGTGATTGCAGCACTGTATTCACCTTCTGGTCTCTGAGCATTTTTATATTTAGAGATTATTCCTGAAAGGTCCACAGAAAGAATGAAGAAAACCAAGCTGGTTGTTAGCCAATGTTCACTGTGCTGAACTTCCAGATTTTTTTTCTGATCTGGAAAGAAAAAAAGGCTGAAAACTACTGGATTAACTGTTCTTTTCAATTCTGTTGTTACAATCCCTCTTCTTTCATCTTGAAGGAGAGGACTAGTGCTATATTTAATTATTTTTTTCTGTTCTAGCCCTGAAAGTATGTACATAATTGTATAGCTGGGTCAGATCCTGTAAATATACAGGCACGGAGGTAACTTTTCTCCCATGAATAATTCTCTCACCTTTACTCTGCATTAATAATAACGATGGTGATGATGATGCAGCATCGTATTTCTCTAGCACCTTTCATCAGAGGATCTCTGAGCGTGGGACTCATCTCACCCGACTTTGACCATTAAAAGTTGTTAGGCATCTCAGCCAAGTTAGCACTCTCCTCGAGTCCATGGAGCGGGATCAGCACCTCCGGAGGGCAATTGGGCCCATCCTAAGATAGGTGCCTCAGATAGGTGGGCTGAATCACGGAGATGCCCAGGAGGCAGCACGGGCTGGGGAAAAGCTTGGGCGATGAGCGTAAATTAGACGCCTTGTTTTTAGCTGAAGTGAGAGAGCTGGAATCTCACCCATTTTCTCTGAACCTCAGAAGTGCCTGAGGGCTGCTAGGAGGACACCGAGGGAAGTCTTTGCCCGGTGATGGGTGGCAGCTCTCCCTAATGTGAACATGGCAGCTTTTTCCAAATCTAGATCCAACAGTTTGGGTCTAGATTTGGAAAACAGCAGACTTAACGGCAGCTTCACGTGGATGCTAAAAAAGCTGTGTATAATTATTTGAGTTGAGGTTTGGCCGGGACAGTAAATTCCCACAGGAACTAAGGCACACCACAACACTCAGCACCTTCCACTCTGAGTGCAAGAGATGTTGCTTTGACTTTGTCTTCCCTTAGGATCTACACAATAGAAGGGAACAGGAGAGAATACGAGTATTAACAACCTGGTTCCTTGCAAAAAGTCTTAGGAACTCTTTAATTACCCAAGGCAATTAACTCCTCTGGTGTACATGTCATGTAAAAAACAACCCATCCAGCAGAATAATGGCCCCTCAAACCATGTTTTCAAGCCTGGCTCCAGGACCCTGATATTGGTTTCATACCATATTCCTCTTTTGGGTCTTCTCCCTGGAGGTCTCCCCACTGAGATCTGCCTCCATGCAGCTCCATTTACCTCATAAGGTTTGCCAGGATCGCAGCACGTGGTATTAGAGATGTATAAGCCTTAACATTTTAATCTGCCACCTACACTGCAGTTTATGAGCGCTGTAAATCTCGTGGTTACAATGAACTCATCTAATGATATTGCTGATGGATAAATTTACCCGGGATGAGGAACAACAGTTACTTGCAAATGAAAGAAGAGTAATTTAAAGTTTCATGTAAACACCTTTGCTACCTCACTTCTGACTTCTCCCAGCCTAACCCCTACAAGGGTTTCATGACAAATGGAAAGTATGTGTGCATGTGTGTGTTTGCTTCTTTCTGCCCTGTGTAGCACGGGTACATCTTGGGCACTGGGATCAAGTTTTACATTTAAAAAAGAAAAAAAACAACAATACAGATTTTCTGGGTCAGGTGTGATAAATTAGTGGAACAGAGGGAAGAGAGAAGGCAATATATTAAGCAAATACTAGAAAAAATGTCTACATTATAGATAGGTATTTAGACTCCCACTATGAATTTCAATAATAATTAGGAGTGTGGCTAGTCTTATCCTTTCTAGTTCTCCCTCCAGCCCCCAGAGCATCCCAACCTGAACTTTTTAAAATGATCAGCAATATAAATTATATGTTGTGGTTTCAAACCTCTCATTAACGCTCATCCCCCTGAACTGAGGTCTGTTCTGGGCTATGTCAGTGCTAAATACCTTGGAGGACTGGGCTCAGAGACCTCAGATGCTTGTGAAGATTGGAATTGGACTTCTAAATTGCTTAAGTGCTTAAGTGCTCGGGGGAATTTTATCCTGAAACTCCTTAGTGATGGAACCCATTTTGAAATGGGAATCATGGACAGAAAGCTGTGTTGTGCTGGTCTAAGTAGCCCTATAGGAACAACATGGTTTTCTCTGTCCCATCCACTCATCTCACACACCAAGTTACCTACTTTTCTCTCCCCTTCCTCCAAGGATGCCTTTTGAAGATGCATTTGATCCTACAACACATGCACGTACCCTCGCCCTGTTATGCACACACACACGTCTGTGCGTTCCCTCTTTGGCTCTAACTGAGTCATCAGGCTCACCAAATGTGTGAACTCACGCTATAATGTTCTCCCAGAAAAATAACAAATTGATTTCATTTTTACAGGCTACAGCATGCTGTATAATTGGAGACACTGCCTTGTCAACTCAGACCGGTCTGACCCGACCAGAGACATTGCTTACAGCTGTTTACGGAGCCATAAACTTTCTTCCTCTTTGTTTTTCCTTCCTTTTACACTCTCTCTCTCTTTTTCTTTCCCCTTCTCACTCGAATGAATCCCATGGACACTTTGTCTTAAGCTCCTTAAGGAAAATGTGGGAAGCATTGATTTAGACAAGCCCTACTGTCTGTGTTTCAAGTTACCACTGTAATCAATGGGATTTAAATCTATGTAGTTTGGCACATTCCCTGAGCACTCAGGGAGTTATATTCACCTGACCTTCCTTAGCACAGTTTTATGGGGGGCTGTTTTGCATACAGTTTTACAATGTGTAAAAACATTTTATCTTCAAAATACTCAAATACTCAAAGCTTAATTAAATGATTTTATTTCTGTGGGAAAAGATCAAACACTTGAGTTTCCAAAAAGGTGTTTCCATTTTCAACCACTGAACTGAAAAAAAAAAAAAAGATAACAAGCCCCAAAGAGCTTTTAATCTAGCAGTACTATCCATCAAAATTCCATCTAGCTACTTCACAATAAATTATGGTTGTGCCACTTTTCATATCACCCATCCATCATTAACTCAGCATAGAGGCTAATCCTTCTTTGGTCTAAAATGTTACCAGATTCATTTCATTTGATTCCTCCAACAAGCTCCAAACCAGATCAGTGCTAAAATCAGTTGTTCCAAAGCCACAATGTAGGTATGAATGCAGCTTACACCATCTTTGAAGATCACCTCTATACACAGGATGGACGTAGGGCTATGGAGAATACTCATCTGATTCTTGGCCCAAACATAGATGGGAAAGGGACATAAGAACTGGATAGGGAAGAAAAACATCTTTCATCCAAAAATGCAACAAAGATTTCCACGTCTGTATTTGTCTTTTACGGAAAAAATAAGGAAAAAGTGGAAAGCACTGTAAGGCAGAGTCTTCCTGAACTTCTCCTTCCGTCTATTTTGGAAAGGCTGCAGCAAAAGACATGTT